GCCAGGCATGTGACATCTGCCAGAGAACGTCTCCCCAACGACCACCCCCCAGCCCTCTAATACCACTACCCATCATTGATGTGCCCTTCACCCGCATTGGTATGGACTTGGTAGGGCCTTTGCCGAAGTCGGCCCGGGGACATGAACACATCCTTGTCATCCTCGATTATGCCACCAGGTACCCTGAAGCGATTCCCCTGAGGAAAGCCACGTCATCGGCCATCGCGAAGGAGCTGTTTCTTCTATGCAGTCGAGTGGGAATTCCAGCAGAGATACTGACCGACCAGGGCACCCCCTTCATGTCCCGGTTGATGGCAGACCTCTGTCACCTCCTCAAGGTAAAACAAATAAAAACCTCAGTATACCATCCACAGACTGACGGCCTTGTTGAGAGGTTTAACAAGACTCTGAAACAGATGCTCCGACGGGTGGTGGCAGAGGACGGGCGCGACTGGGACCTCATGATCCCGTACGTGTTGTTTGGAATCAGGGAAGTCCCCCAGGCCTCCACAGGCTTTACCCCCTTCGAACTGCTGTTTGGCCGCCAACCCCGAGGGCTATTGGATGTGGCTCGTCAAGCCTGGGAACAGGAGCCAGCCCCCCAGCGGTCGGTGATTGAACACGTACGGGACATGAGAGAACGCATCGAGAAAGTCATGCCCATCGTCAAACAACACCTGACCGAAGCCCAGCGCGCCCAGCAGAGATTGTATAACCAGCCCGCCCAACCCAGAGAGTTCCACCCAGGGGACAAGATGATGATCCTCATACCCACCACAACCTCGAAGTTCCTTGCGTCCTGGAAAGGACCATAAACGGTGGTGGAAAGGGTAGGGCCGGTAAATTATCGAGTCCGTCAGCTGGGACGAAGACGGGAAGAACAGCTATACCACATCAATCTCATGAAGAAGTGGGTTGCAGCTCCAGGTCATCTCGTTGCCTTCACTGAAGAAACTCTTCCCGTTGTCCACATAGGTGAGCAACTCTCACCAAACCAGAAGGCGGAGCTGCAAGCCTTGGTTGGTCAGTTCAAGGATGTGTTCTCGGAGAAACCGGGCCGAACCACCATCATCCAGCACAACATCATCACTCCACCTGGCACCATCGTCCGGCAAAGGCCTTATCGAGTCCCAGAGGCTCGCCGGCTGGCTATCGAGGAGGAGATCCAGAAGATGAGGAGATTAGGCATCATCGAACCATCCCGTAGCCCGTGGTCCAGCCCAATAGTGATGGTCCCCAAACCCGATGGCACCCTCCGTTTCTGCAACGACTTCAGGAAACTCAACGAGATCTCCAAGTTCGACGGATACCCCATGCCTCGGGTGGACGAGCTGCTGGATAGGCTGGGTGGAGCCCGATTTATCTCCACCATCGACCTCACCAAAGGCTACTGGCAGTTACCACTAAGTGAAGACGCCAAGGAGAAAACCGCCTTCTCCACACCCGGTGGGGACTGGCAATACCGGGTTCTTCCCTTCGGGCTCCACGGGGCCCCAGCCACATTCCAAAGAATGATGGACATCCTGCTGAGGCCCCACCAGCCATATGCAGCAGCATACCTGGACAACCTCATCGTCCACTCAGAGTCATGGGAGGAACACCTATCACGGTTATGGAGGGTGCTCTTAGATCTTCGACGGGCTGGGCTCACAGCCAATCCCAAGAAATGCCACCTGGGGCTAGCCGAAGCCAGATACCTCGGGTTCCACATTGGAAGAGGTCTCATACAGCCACAACAAAACAAGGTCAAAGCACTACAAGAAACTCCACAACCTACACAAAGACCCAGGTACGTGCATTTCTGGGGTTAGCGGGCTACTATAGATGTTTCATACCTAACTTCTCATCCATAGCCAGCCCTCTGACAGACCTGACCAGAAAGGGGCAGCCGGAGAGGATAAGATGGACCAAGGAAGCAGACGACGCGTTCCGAGCCCTGAAGACGGCCCTCACATCCTCACCGGTACTGCACGCACCTGACTTCGGCTGCTACTTCATTCTTCAGACGGATGCTTCCGACTCGGGCCTGGGCGCGGTCCTCTCCCAGGTCCACGGCAATGAAGAACATCCCATTATGTACGTGAGTCGGAAGCTTACCCCCGCAGAGACCCGCTACGCAACGGTGGAGAAGGAGGCCCTGGCGATCAAGTGGGCAATCCTGGAGCTAAGGTACTATCTCCTTGGCAGGAAATTCACTCTGGTGACCGACCATGCCCCGCTACAATGGATGGCTACAGTGAAGAACAACAACGCTCGGGTCACCAGATGGTTCCTGTCGCTCCAGGATTTCAACTTTGACGTCCAACATCGAGCCGGGGCCTCCCACGGAAACGCAGACGGACTCTTACGGCTCTGGTCAGGATGGGCAGGTCTGTCAAAACATTCTATCCCCCCTCTCAACACACTGCTCTTTCTTCGCAGAATACCCAGGACCAGGACGACGCTAAGGGGGGGGGAAATGTAGCGAGTCTGCTGATACCACGTCGCCCTGGTCACAAATTCACCCCAGCTGGAAACTCATCAGCACCGGATCGCTCACAGCTGGACCTCATCAGCCAGGGAGAGATAAAAGCCAGCCCCACACAGGAGGAAACTGAGCTTCATTTCCACATAACTCCCTGCGCTAACGCTTGTCTCTCTCTGTCTCTCCCACAGCCGAATCCAGCTCGTGACCGGTCCAACACCAGAACTCTCACCAGTCTTCACTATCTCCCCGGAGCACTTGAGCACGCACCCTTAAGAAGAACACTCATTCACCCCTGTAACACTTGTAAATAAAGCACCCTCCGGGGCATTGTTTGTAACATCATCTAACTGTGTTTGTGTTTTCCCTCTGCCTCGCTACAGGCTGTAACACAAAAAAAATGTGGAAAAGTGAAGCGCTGTGACAACTTTCCGTATGCACTGTATAGACTATGTAACCAATCCCAAATTAAATAACAGTAATGCTTAAAGGCATTATTTCAGACAAAAGTCTGAGATTGTTAGGATTTTATTCAATCTCTTCAAAGTAGTCTGTAAATGGGAAAAAGTAAGTCAAAGGTAAGTTCTGTTATTTTCCCCACTAGTATTGTGCAATCTTAAGCAATCTTTGGACACTGTAAAATGCTTTGATCTTTATAATGCTCATATTGATAACTAATTAATAGAATTTTATGTAATCTCTCATAGAGTTCTGTTTGTACCTTGAGGTACACTTGAGGAGTGTGATTAATGTGTAAGAGTGAAGACAGCATAAAGTGAGTGTTCTGTAAAACCACTAAGTCCAAGTTATCCAGTGATGTTTCGAGGAAAAACCATTTTAAATCCTTAGTAATCCTGACAGAGAAATGACAATTGTAGAGAGGGTCATAAAGACATAACAAGCATCAACCAACCTCAACACCTTCAGACATGTTTGATCTGGTCATAGGCCAACTGCTTGTGACTTTTTCCAAGTTTTCCATAGTCACACATTATATACATTACATAATGCACAAGGTTGTGTAAGTCTTAATGCATGTCTCCATTATGAGAAATACTTATACACTGAAAGATTATTTCTGCAAAATTGTTGCATGCAATTCATATGTTGAATTCAAATAAATTCAATTTAGTAATGTTCAACTAAATTAAAATTCAGCCCAAATAAATTGTTTACATGCACTTACCGAAAAATAAGTAAATCCAAGGAATCATCTTTGAACTTTTTTTTTTTAGTGAAGCATCTATGATGTCAAAATAGTTTGTAATTTAACAATTGTAATATGAAAAATTGCGAATATCAGTCTCTTTATGTCACAATTACAAAACAAAATAAACACATTTTAAATCGAATTTACAAAACTCTACAAAAATGCAATTCGATTTGATGTAAATACCTTTACGTCTATTTGACATTCACACATTGAGGCTTTTTTGACCCCCAGAATAACAAAACAAATACTATTATAATACATTTTTTATTCAGCTTTAAGCTTCACTACAAGTTCACACTGGATTTTGTACCCCTACAATGCATGTAAACATCCTTGATGTTAAAACAACATCAAATTGACATCTGGCATTGGTGTCAAAGAACATCAAAAATGGATTACAGGACAACGCAATCTCACAGCAATTTGTAACTTTTTGATTTAGTGGCTAACTCGTATGAATTTGTACGATCTAATTCGTACAATTTAGTATGATTTGCTCATCACCCAATGACAGTTTGGTTTAGGGGCGGGGTTGGGTGCCACGCCTCCTTTTTAAAATTGTACATTTTCGTATACGACTCAACTCGTACGAATTCGTACAAATTAGCCAATTGACAAAAAGCAACTTCTGTTTCCTCATTCTGTAATCAACTTTTGACCAATTTTTGATGTCAATATAGATGTCAATTTGATGTCGTTTTGACATCAAATTAACCTCTAATCTGTTTTTTGATATCGTTTTGAGTTCAAGGTGCACGCTGGGCAGTGTATGCTTCAAAACAACTTTGTGTATTTCTTTTGATTTCAAAGTATTTTCTTTTATATTAACATTCCTCCCACAAATCCAATTCTTTGGAAAGAACTATGGATTATCTCCTGCTGTGTGATTTCTGAGAGTTTGTGTTTAGTAAGCCTCCCAGGTTGTTGTTTAACAGACCCCTGTGCAGCGCCAGATTAGCACCCAGTAAGGAAAACATTGATAATGTTTACTGTTAGGAAAAAAAGGTGTGAATTCCAGGTCATTGTCTCATGTCAGTGGGTTTATGTTTGTAATGCTTTTGCTTTTATAACCTCATATGCAAATCTCATATGCAACTTTGGTCTCAAAATATAAATATTGTTGGATCAGGACTTACAGCACAAGTGCCTTGACTGGTGGGAGTCTAATCTTAAAGCTTAATCTCCATGGCCATAAGGGTTTATGACATGCCCGGAACGGACCAGTAACAGGGGATGCGGATGGCACCAGGGCAAAGATTAATCAGCGGCGCATTATTTAAAGGCAATCATAAGACAAAGTCCCTGAGTTGACTCCGTTTCGGCCACAAGATGAGGCGGCTTAGATGTTCTTGGAGTGCCCTGAAACCTCTAATCATCATCAGCACACCGCTGGCGATTCTACCGCTGCCACTGGTCATCAAAACCAAGGTTAGACATGAAACAAACAAATAATACGCAGAGACTGAGAACTATATCAGTTACTATAATATTAACGAATAATGCTAAAGATACTTTTTTGTTGGCATTTAAAGAAGTGTAATTGGGTGATTTAATTAAGTACAAAACTTATATATTTTTTTTATATTTTTATATTTTTTCTGTCTTTTAACATTATTTTATACCTTTTAAAATAAATACATTTAATATATTTGAGATTTTGTCAATAAACAGCTAATGGCGAATGGATATAACATCTAATATCATGTCCATTAGGAAGCAGAATGCGCATACGTCCTGATTTTAATGGCTGTGTACTGGATGACAGAGGTTTTGCCTCTGTCTGTGACGGCACTTATCCCCGCTCTGCTTTTTCCTCTTTTTGGGATCATGAAGTCCTCCCAGGTACCTAAACCAATCACTTTACCCTTGGAAAACAATCCGATGAAAACCTGACTGCAATATTTCTGGACTACTAATATGGATACGAACACGTGGTTTTACTGACCCACCATCTTTCTTTAGGTTGCATCTCAATATTTCAAAGACTTCCACTTGTTGCTTCTGGGGGTCATCTGTTTAGCGACATCTATTGAGAAATGGGGTCTTCATCGAAGAATTGCCCTCAGATTGGTGACCGGACTTGGAGTCAACCCTGGCATGTAAGACTGATTATACCTATTTTTATAAAAGATTAGGGATATATTGTGATGAATTCTCACCAAGCATTTTTTGTTTTGTTTAAAAGACATCTAACAGACATTGAAACATAGATTGCTTGGCTTGAACAATGGTAAATTTGGTCTGTCTGTGAAAATCTAATAGATAATAGTCTGAAAATAAACATATACATATATAGAGACTTCACTTGTGGTCATTCATTCCTGTTTATTTGATAACTAGTCTATATTTGGACATTTGTTGTATGTCTTTTAGATTTTTACTGGCAGCCAAAATGTAGCCTTGTTTTAGCCAAGATGTCTATGTTTGGACATCTATTAGGCGTCTTCTAAACAAACACACACTTGCTGGTGTATTGAAGGAGAAACCGATGCAAATCTGCTTGTTTACTGTGAAATGTGTTTCACAGGTTGATGCTGGGGTTCATGGTTGGCTGTGCTTTTCTCTCTATGTGGTTGAGCAACACCTCAACTGTGGCAATGGTTATGCCAATTGTGGAGGCAGTGATCCAACAGGTTTTGAGTGCAAGTGAAGAGGCCAATAAAGACCACAAGGGGGCATTAAACGGCATCTCTAACCCAGCTCTTCAACTTGAAGGTAAGCATAGTTGTCACTTAAAAGTATAATTTTGTAACCATTAAGAATTACACAATTAAATATCGAACATCTATTCTCAGATATCGAGGCCCAGCATGACCAGTCAGAGAAGATAAAAAGGTGAACAAATGGGACATATTGAAAAAAAAAAAAAGGGCAACAAAAAAAATTGTATTTAAAAGTATACCTTTTTTCCTCTAATAGCATAGAAGCAGGCATAACAGAGCCAGAGCCAACCTCTGAGGAACATGAAACTGCTAAGGTTAGTTAAACACACTCATGCACACACACTTGTATATATGGTTTATGAGGACTCGCTATAGGCATAATGTATATTATAATGTAAAAACCACTTCAGGGTAATGTCTTAAATTTCAATGTTTAAATTTTTGGCCTTAAAAAGTCTTAAATTCAAAGACATATTGGCTTGTAGGTCTTAAAATCATTTTAGATGGGTAAAACTACTCTATCGATCCAACACATCCCCACACATCACCAAAAATGAACCTCAATAAAACTTAGAGTAAAACTATATTTATAACTAATATTTAGTGCTGAGAAATTATTATTTATTTAGCATTTTTGGAAAAAGTATGCATAACACTAGGGTCTGCCTGTTTTGACAAATTATTTAAAGTTTGTGGCTAAGAAATAGCTAATTAGAATTAGTTTTTTTATTGATGGGCCATTAAAAGAAACCATTAGCGTTTAGCCCTATACAAGTCTGAAATTACATTCTTTGTGGTCCTAAAAATATCTTTAAAAGTGTTAGATTTGACTTGCTGAAACCTAAAGAAACCCTGCACTTATTATTTGGCTTTATGGCTGCCCAACCCTCAGCAAAAAAATGTCAAAATGACCCCATTAAGTATGATTATTATCTGTTAAATGCCTCACCATGAAAAAAAATGTCTTAATTTGCAATGTTCCTAGTTAACACACTCAATTTTCATTTTATTTTACAAATCCCATATTTTCTAAAATATCAACCTCTACCAAATGGTAGATATGTTAGTTTATGGTGAAAGTACTGGAATTAACAAATATACTATGAAAAATATGAAAATATGAAGTCTAAGACCAAATTATTTAAAAATATCTTCAAAATAAAATGTATGTTTGAATATATTTGAAATATAAAATTATACTTGAATACTAAATCATCTTTATTTTTTTGAAGTATGCCTTAAATAATTACAGATTCCCATTTAACATGTTTTCTTGTTTTGTTTTGTTTTTTTACAATAAAACCAAAATCAAAGTGTAGTAGTGTAACAAGATAAGGTATGTTTGTCTGTTTTGTAAACCAACAATGCAGTGTATAGAGTAACCATTATTTATAAGAGTCATTCTTTAAATGACTTTAACAGTCATTATTTAAGACAGTCAACATATGTTCCAGTTACTATGACCATTTATGTGAAGCTGCTTTGACACAATCTACATTGTAAAAGCGCTATACAAATAAAGCTGAATTGAATTGAATTGGTCAACTATTTGGTAGAGCAAGCAGTTGAAGAGATACGTGTTGTGTATTATGAGGATACAATGCATATCCTCATAAACATAAACACAATGACATACAAAATCCTTGTTTCTGCCTGTATAAAATGGTATTTCTCAATAACTTCCAGGCACCGACTCCACCGTATAGTGGAAAGTACAGGACCCGCGAAGATCACATGATGTGTAAAGGCTTGTCACTTTGCATTGCCTATTCATCATCCATTGGGGGGCTGACCACATTATCCGGAACATCCACAAACCTCATATTTGCTGAATACATCTATCAGTGAGTTCACTGCTTATCTTAAAAACAACATGTGAACCATATGTTATCATTATGATGTTCTCATTATTTCTTTTACATTATCTAATTTGGTCAGTCTGAACAGTGCTTGTGGTGCACTTTTATTTCATTTCCTTAGGTACTACCCAGAATGCACCATCGTTAATTTTGGAAACTGGTTCGTGCTTTGTCTTCCCATCTGCATAATTATGCTGATTTTGTCATGGCTGTTCCTGCACTGGATGTACCTCGGATCCAAGTGAGTGATTGTAATGTCATGTTTTCAATAAGTCGTTCCCTGACCCATCCCTGTCCCTCATTTTTACTCTTCGTCTTTGGCTTTCATTTAAATTCATCATTTTAAAATCACCGTGCCATCTGCATTTTTCTCACCTCACCACTTCCTCAACATGTCTTCAATCTTCTTGATCCTGCCCTGCATCTCACTTCCAGCCTCCCTTTCTTATCGCTCGAGAATAATCATGTTTTATCCTGCAGACTTCATTTCACCACTGTTGAGATTTTCCTCTTTCCCTTGTGAAGTATCACTGTCAGAACATGGATTTGTGGTGTCATTTTCTTATATGCATAGTTTAAAATATGTATATATTTTTACATTCAGTTAAATCAGTCAATCTATCAAAGCCACAACAAAATGCGTAAGCGCACTGAGATCAAAGAGAATTAAACAAACAACAAAAGCGTATTTGCTTTGCTATTCATCCACAGCTTTCGTGCCAGTCTTTGCTCCAGACAGCGAACTGAAAAAGAGAAAATCACTGCCAGAGTGCTCCGGGATCATTACAACTCACTGGGGCCCATAAGGTTGGAACTCTTCTTTTAATGGCCAGTATTTGTACTTATTTGTGTTTTTTTGTTTCTTTTCTTTTTTTTTTTCTCGATAATTATACAATAACTTGCCTAATTACACTAACCTGCCAAGTTAACCTAGTTAGGCCTTTAAATGTCACTTTAAGCTGTATTAATGTTTCATGGCAAAGATAAAATAAATCAGTTATTAGAAATCAGTTATTAAAACTATTATGTTAAATCTTAATAAAGGGGGGGGGGGGGGTAATAATTCAGGGGGGTTTAATAATTCTGACTTCAACTGTGTGTGTGTGTGTGTGTGTGTGTGTGTGTGTGTGTGTGTATAAATATAAAGTTTTGAATAAAATGCTAATGATCTAATAAAACTCAGAGACCAGCTTCATGGATTTAAAAATGATAAAACTCAACCGTTTAACTATAGGAGACTTGTAAAATGAGAATTGACATTTATTTAATAAATTTTTTAATTTCTTTAAAATTGTTTAGGTAGCTCATAAAGTATATAATTACTATTACAGTTTTCTGTTCTTAAGGCTGGAATATACTACACTGCTTTTAAAATCTGAATTATCTTTTAAAACAACAATCGTGATGCAGAACTAATTAAAACATTATATGTTGTAAAAACATTAAATCTTTGACGTCTTTCAAATAAAAAACAAAACAACTGAAAAATGCTTTATGTGCTATGAGAGTTGGAAATAAATTAATTAGAAAGGAATTAGTTACTGACAAGTAAGGGATTACTTATATTTTTAGGTAATTTAATTACAGTTACTGATACTTTACTTGCCATAAAAACTATACATTAACTTAACTGTTTTATAAAAAAATAAATTCAGGGAAGCAAAGCAATTGTATTTTTATTATAAAAATAGATTCTTAAATGTTTTTTATTTCAACTAAAGAAGGTTACATTTATCAAGACTATATATATATATATATATATATATATATATATATATATATATATATATATATATATATATATTGTTGTTGTTGTTCAAATGTTTTGCATAATAAAGACATTTATATATAAAGATTTATATTCAACACATAAAGATTTATCCAACAAGTGCACAAGAATAAAATAAATAAAGTCTTAAACTTTTGGATTGACTCATCATGTTTGACAATTTTGTCACTTTATTTTAAATAAATACAAAATAAAAGTGCTGTTTGACTCAAATTTATAGAATTAAAAGATTTTAATTTGTATTACCTAAACATTGAGATTTGCATGAAATTGTAATGGTTTTGTATAGAAGTAGTTTAATTACTTATTGAGTAATTAAGTTATCTTTCTGACAAAGTAATTTGAAATGTTATCCAAATACAAGTTTAATGATTCAATTAGTAAACTTACCCAACATGCTGTGCAGTTGTTGTTTCCTAAAGAAGAATTTCAACATCAGTTACCCAGAATCTCAAGATCAGATACTCTGACTTTTAGCAACTAGCCCAGATTTCTCAAGACCTCAAATCAGCGCAAAACTTGTGTAATGTAATCCAGTGTTTAGGACAGAAATGTCTAAATTAACCAGAAATATACTTTTCTATGTTTCTCTTTTGATCCAGTTGGCAGGAGATTGTTACATTGATCATATTCATTCTGATGGCAATTTTGTGGTTTACAAGAAATCCAGGTTTCATGCCAGGCTGGTCGTCATTGTTCTCAGAGTGAGTGTATTCACATGTATCAACTTATTTTGATGTATATGTACGGATAACTACTACACTTCTTAGAGAACTACTACAGAAGTCTTAAATGCTTGCTTTTAAAATCCTATGTTGCTATTTGTTCAGTAATCCAGGTTACGCTACGGATGCCACTGTAGCGCTGTTGCTGGGATTCCTGTTCTTCCTCCTCCCTTCACACAAACTAAACGCAGATCACTACGGTACGACTACTTTGAAAACCTTCAGTATGATTGGAGGCGCACTGTCAGCATTTCTGTTGATGATTTACATTTTCATCCATTTGACAGAGGCCTTGATAACGTGGAAGGACTTCCAGGCCTGTATGCCATGGGAGATCAGTCTGCTTGTTGGTGGAGGTTTTGCTTTGGCTGAAGGAACAAAGGTAGGATCATCATTTAATAGAAACCCAATTATACTGTACCTGCAAAAGAAAATAAAAAAAAAGAGAGGAATGAATACAAAAGTACAAGACTGCATTAAAAAAAGAATCAATTAACTGGCCTAGATTCATTTAAACAGGCCAGTCTAATTCACTAGTGACTTTGGACAGCTCTGGACAGCTCAATTGCTGCCTTTGCTCATAATCTTAAACAATAATTACCTTTTAAAATAAATAAATGAAAAGACGGATCACATCAAAGTCGTGTAGCAGCGTGCAGCCTATTAACTTTGCGCAGAGAACAACAATTCTACTGTGTCACTCTCTGTCTGCTTTGACGTTCCGTTCAAGCTAATTACATGCCTCCATTATGAGACTGGCACTGAAGCACATTGTTTCAGCCTAGCAAACCACTGTCAGTTGCAAAGACTAGAAACAAGAGTGCCTAGCCTACTTCTTAATATTCCCCTGGTGTAGGTGGGCTGGGTGGGGTCTTATCATCAAGGCTCCAGCCCTGTTTTGATCCAGACATCCAAATGTCATGGCAAGTTCAGTCTTTAAAATCTTCAAAGCAGAAAGGGTGACTACTGTGCCACATTCTCCATATGGAATATCAGGGTGTCCGGATCCCATATCTTGACAAACAGCTAAATTACGACTTCAGTCTCTGTTGACGAGCATACAAAGAGATGTTAGTACATTTATGAAAGCAGGTTCATATGAGTTCATTAATATTTTGGCTAAACACATTTACTTACCTTAGAGTGTATGTCTTCCAAAGACGAGCTGACATTTTTCCCTTCGTTTGTTTCACCCCACAGATTTCTGGTTTATCGTCTTGGGTCGCTGAATTGTTAACTCCCTTGGGAAGTCTTCCACCTTTAGCTACTGTCACCATTGCCTGCCTTATTGTCACATCTATCACAGAGGTTGCCAGCAATGCTGCCACAATGACAATCTTTTTGCCAATACTGGCACCCCTGGTATGTGTTATTTCAGCATATGTACAATATAATGTCACCTTTTAGAGCTACTCTCATCAAAAAAATTATCTTTGTCAGGCCGAGGCAATCGGAGTCAACCCTCTGTACATGCTGATTCCCACGGCTTTGGCTGTGTCCTTCTCATTCCTGCTTCCGGTTTCTAATCCCCCTAATGCTATCGTCTTCACGTATGGTCATCTGACTAGCATGGATATGGTGAGTCCTTATGCTTTTTTGCTCTTTGCAAGCTGTTTTGGATTGTAAATGGAATCACATAGAGAATGTTTTTCGAACATTTCATAACAATCCTTAAAAGTTATGAAATTAAAATAATGTTTTTTTTCTATATATATTCTTGTAATGTTGATAGAAAAACATTCTCAGAACACTAATATAATGTGAACGAAATGTTCTAATAACTTTTTAAATAATTTTGTGAGAACATTATTATAACATGAAACTGAAACATTTTGAATAATGTTTTTATAACCAAAAAATCACATTAATACATTAATTAATACGTTCTCAGAACTGTGCACAATTTTTATAGCTTACTGAGAATTATAGGGAAAAGCTCTTTTGTATACTGGCTGGAATGTTCTCATAATGTTTTAAATAAACTCTAAGAGTTTATTATTATAACACGAGACTGAACAGTTGAGTAATGTTTGTGTGAATGAATTTTTTTTGATAATATTATTATAAACAAAAAAAATAATGGTAAAAAATTCATCTCAAAAACTGGATGTTTGAAGGTTCTAAGAACCTTTTTAGTAACCTAAAATTGTTGGCTGACAATACTTTTATTCCATTTTACAGTAACTAAGCTTGTTTTTTTCTTTTTTGACTTTGTAGGTAAAAGCAGGGCTGGGTGTGAATGTTATAGGTATTCTTACAGTCCTTTTAGCTCTCACAACTTGGGGAACACCTCTGCTTAAGTTGGATACCTACCCAGACTGGGCACCGGTGGTAAACAGCACTGGAGTATGACCATAATTCTGAGCATTTTAGAAATGTGAACATTTAGTTTTTAAAATACACGGGATCCCAATTGCAGTTGACAGTACCTAATCCACAATCCATTAGTTTCATTCCTTTGGATCACTTGCACAAGAAGCTAAAACCAGCCTACCTTATCCAATACAGCAGACTGAAAACTGGGTTTGCAACGTGTGTGTTTATATGTTTTTGTATTATAATAATATTTGTGATTATACAGAATGTGTTATATAAAATGTATGTTTTAAGCTTTAAGCTGAGTTTGCAAGACAGGGTTAGTCTTGTTGTCTAACCATAGCACTTAATGTTTATAAGATTGTATATTTTTGTTATCCTCTAGCAGGTACTTGTACATAGATATGTGAATAGTATGTGTGGAATGTTGAAAAAAATTAACAAACAGCTTAGATAAAATTCACCTCTCAGAATGCTATATATTTTAAATGGAAACTCAACATCATTGTTTATTTTACTTGTTCATATTTTTTGTGAGATATTTCTTTGTTTTTTATTTCAAAATGACAAGTCTGTATTTAAAAAACAAAACAAAAACAAAACATTTAAATATAACCAGAACCATTTATAGTTATCATGTGCTAGCAGGAATTCACACTCATTTTTAATAAACAATGCTTCGGAAAATACCTGTATCAGTGTTAATTGAACTTTTCACTGAGAGGATTGTCTCAAGTCTAATTACTGAATCTCAAAATTAAATGTTTTGACAACTCTAGTCTGGGTGGAAGTCTTATCAAAGAGATTCAAGCGGCAGATTAGCTTTGATGAAATGAGGTTACACAGAACAATTGCCAACTATGGGTGAGTATCTGCAGAGAAGGGTGCTTACAGAACAGCCATGCAACTACAAAGAAAAGGAATCTGAAAGTATCTTTATAGGAATCTGAAAGTATCTATAGTATCTTAATAATTTCTTCCCATACTCATTAGGGGAAGAGGATCTGAAAATAAAACCGTTTACTAATCGATGTGACTTTAATGGGGCAGCTAATGCAAAACAAAGGAGGAGGCATTAATATGAAATTTGAATGGGCTTGGGCTAATATTTGTTCGCAAAGTGAGCCAGTGATGAGAACTAATTCTATAAACCACCCACGTTATGATAATTCATGCTCAAATCCTGCAGCCATTGCGATTCAAGGTCACTGTTCAGTTGCGTTTGAGGTAATAGCAGCTTGTCTGAAGGGTCTAATCTGATTATGTTTTATTTAAATCTTATTTCTTGTATGATAATTATGGTTTTTGGACTACTGAGTTTAACAATTAGAAATACATTTTCTTCACACTTGTGTGATTGTCATTATAACTTTACTTTGGATGCTAGATTTCAGTTGCATTTAACTAGATTTCAGTTGCATTCATTACTAGTTGTAAAGCCCTTTTCTGTCTGACCTTAGGTAACAATTGTCATAATTTTTGCTCAAACACCCTTCATTATTGGTTACATGGCTTCTGAATGATTTTTATAATTTATGTTGGCTGAAGAAATGTGTTTTGGAGGGGTTTGCAAAAAATTTGTGGTGTTTATGTACATATGGGGATCAGACACTCCCAATTACCCACACAGATGCCCACTCTGACGGAGGATCTGTTAACTGAAGATGCTCGACTCTCATTCAAACACATTTAGAATGCTATTATATGTAAAGTTACTTTTGTTTTTAGTAATTTACTAATCTGTCCACATCTACAATCCTCCAGGTCAAGAAGGCTGATTTAGTGTTATTGGCGCCTTCATCCATGTGGTCCTGTTTTGAGTTGCATTTTGATGGGAACACAGTCACATATGAGCATTGCTGGCTGATTGGAACATGAATACAAGAAAAGGTCCGGATGCTGCCAAAAGAGCTTCTGATAAAAAAAAATTGCATTAACTCTGGCATGTAGATGGTCCATACATACAAACCACCCCCAAAACCATGATACGTCCTCCTCCAACTGTGGATTCTTTATACACTTTGGGTGTAGTATTTTCTCGGTTTAGCAACAAACATGTTTCAAGAGTTCACACTTAGCTGATAATCAATAAAGCGTATTTAGCATGCTGTCCCGGGAGAGAGCCCTGAGCTCATAATATCCTCGAGCCCGGGGCTCTCTCCCGTTAGAAGAGCAAAAGGGGAGTTCGAGCTCTGGTAGGTCTCAAGAACTCCCATGCTTGTCTCTGTGTAAACTAAGGTTGTCTTAGGTGATAATTTGGGGGCTTTAAGACTCTGGTTATTTCTAATGCTTCCGTAATCATCCAATAGGGCAGATTACGGAGCTAATGAGGAGCCAGTCGTATACTTTTATCACTAAACTAGACAAATTCTCTGTCCATATAACACAAACATGTGGTCACTACTTAATATGTTTTTTGTAGTAAAATAATAATCAGTCCTGTGGTTTCCATCCGATGAAACTGAAAATTCATGCAGGAAACATGTACTGTGAACTACAGAAGCATTAGGAGGATGCCGTCGATGTCTAATGGATGTATTAACACCGCCGTGCAAGGTTGGTTTGTGGGACCAACATCTGGACACTCATAACATGTTAGTCGGGTACGACTAGCATGTAATCCACTCAGTAAAGTGAATTAAAAAAAGTTTTAACATACTTTTGCTACTTAGATTGCATAGATTTCTCTCCATAAACCCATCAACCTGCTTCTTGTTGGCTTATTATAAGTGCATATTAATGTAAGATTCATACATTAAATCTCACATTTTAAATTAATTGTCCATGAATGTTTTATAGTTTAACTTACACTAAGAAATTCTCTTAACAGAAAATTGCACTGATGTAAGGCTACATTTTTTTCTTTTACATTTGCAGACTGTAATGTGAAATCATTTTTCAAGTGTTATACTCACTTGAGAACTTTTAGAAGTGCTACTTTTTACTCATACTTTGAGTAGTATTTAGAACAGATACTGTTGTTATACTTGCAATACATTTTTTGGCAAGTAATGGTACTTTTACTCAAGTATGATTTTTCAGTTCACTTTCCACCACTGTTGACTGTCCATTAAAATATTTCACATTATCTTATCCTCTTAATTTTCTTTCACAACCAGCCTTTCTTTGGACTTGAATTAGATAGTGTTGTAAAGATGCCATATTGTACAATTAACAGATTTGTAATGACCAACTTCGGGCAGCATGGTGGCACAGCATGTAGCGCAATCACCTCACAGCAAGAAGGTTGTTGGTTTGAGCCCTGGCTGGGTCATTTGGCATTTCTGTGTAGAGCTGTTCTCCCCGTGTTCGCATCGGTTTCCTCCGGGTGCTCATGTTTTTCCCCTTACAAGACCAAAAACATGTGCTATATGTGAATTGGGTAAGCAAAATTTTCCGTAGAGTGAATGAGTGGGTATGGATGTTTCCCAGTGATGGGTTGCAGCTGGAAGGGCATCCGCTGCGTAAAACATGTGCTAGAAAAATGTTGGCGGTTCATTCTGCTGTGGTGACCCCAGATTAATAAAGGGACAATGTCCAATTTTTCCCTAAAATATTGATTTATCTTACCACAGTACACATTTCCACTGTGTGATGGTCCACCCCAGATGCCCCCCAGCACAGTGAAGTCGACTAAAATTCTGCAAACTACTAACATTGGGCTTCCTTTTGGCACAGTACTGTTTTAACTAGCATTTGTGGATGTAACTATGTATTTTGGTACTTGACAAAGTGGCTCATTTGGTTATATTTTACACATGAATGATGCTTCCAGATGCAGTGCCACTAGAGGAATCAGAGATCATGGTTGTTCAGCGAAGGTTTTGCGCCCTTGTCCTTTACGCACTGAAATTACTCCAGATTTTTTGAATATTTTAATTATGTTATACACTGTTGAAGGCGAAATATCCAAATGTCTTCCTATCTTTCTTTGAGGAACATTGTTTTTAAACATTTCAATAATTTTCTCATGTATGGCAAACTGGTGATCCTCACACCATATTTGCTCATAATTGACAAGAACTTTGGATGCTGCTTTAGTACAAATCATAATTACAATCACCTGTTGACATCACCGGTTTGAATAATTGAATTTTTCTGCTAAATTTAACTAGCCCTAAATTGCTCCTGTCTCATGTTTTTTTTTTTTTCTTTTTTTGAAATGTGTTGCAGGTCTGAATAAAAGGAAAGGATGTAATTTTACAAATTAAATGAAGTTGTCAGGACAAAATATGAAATACTTTGTGTTAATATTGTCTGCAATGAAGTCAAAGTAAGTTTGGAAATTTTAAATTTGGAAATAAAATAGCATATTTTATTATATTATGATTAATATTATTACATATTATTATGAATATTATTATTAATAACATTAATAGTAATAAAAGCAACAATGACTGGACTAATTTCATTTGAAACTACATACAATAAGTAATAAATAAATATTTTAGAAATAAGTATATACTGGATATGTTGGCGGTTCATTCTGCTGTGGCGCCCCTGGATTAACAAAGGGATTAAGCCAAAAAGAAAATGAATGAATGAATACATATATATTTATATATATGTATAGATGAAGGCAAAATTATTAACCCCCCGTAACCCTCCTTTTTAAAATATTTACAAAACACTGTTTAACAGAGACAAGTTTTTTTTTTAATAATTTTGACTTCAACTATATATATATATATATATATATATATATATATATATATATATATATATATATATATATATATATATATATATATATACAGTTGAAATCAGAATCATTAAGAGAGGAAGTCTTATTTGTTTTATTTAGTTAGTTTTATAAAATCAGTTTTTAATAATAATAAAAAAAACATTTGCCAAAATGATCAGCCCTTTTAAGCTATAATTTTTTTCCGATAGTCTACAGAACAAAGCCTTGTTATACAATAACTTGCCTAATTAATCTATCCTGCCCAATTAATCTACCTAATTAGCCTAGTTAAGCCTTTAAATGTCACTTTAAGCTGAATAGAAGTGTCTTGAAAAAAAATCTAGTAAAATATTATTTACTGTTATCAGGACAAAGATAAAAAAAAATCAATTATTAGAAATGATTTATTAAAACTATTATGTTTAAAAGTGTGTTGGAAATATCTCTCCGTTAAACAGAAATTGGGCAAAAAATAAACAGGAGGGCTAATAATTTCGGGGGTTCAATTATTCTGACTTCAATTGTATAAAGATTTACCTTAAAAAGAAAACTTACACAAAAGACAGTTATGAGAATTAGACCTAATTTAATCCTGACCTGAACTTGATAAAATAATTATAAAATAATAAAATAAATTAATTGTAAAAATAATATTTGCAAAATAATAATCAGTTGGATTTGTGTTCTACAAATTTATGCTATACAACTAGTTTTTTTCTATTATACTTTCACTCCCCAAAGGATGATGCACAGAATTACCTTGTGCAGTGAATCTGTTTGTCAGTGAGGCGTATGTTTTTGAAAATAATTGAACATTAAAAATAAACAAAATTGCATTGTATCAATAGACTGCACCTTTAAGAAGGGGACCTCCCACGTGTTGCATGTTGTCTATGCCACAGGTTGCCTACCTGTCTCGCATTACTCTGCACTAACCTCCACATGCCAGCGCTCTTTTCTCTACAAAGAGAAAAGAGAATGTGGCTCAAATCCCTCGTTACGGAATCGTTCTCGGATTGACTCCGCCCTCAAAAGTGTCGCGACTGACACATTTGACATTCTCTCAGCAAAAAAAAAGCTTTTGTGGTCGAGGTCCTCAGAAACCTCACGGGTTTCCTGGCTTTCTCCACAGCTGTGAGGAGTTGTCGCCTCTTTAGTGTCGATTATGCTGGACCCGTCCTCCAGCGAGGAATCTGAGGGGGAACTGCCACCTGAGGACGACCCACCCGTTAAAACTGGGAAACCTGTAAAAAAAAGTCCCAAACCTGAAAAGACTTCGGATGCCTCGCGAACCCAAACCAAGGAATCAGTTCCTTCTCCTGCTGAGGCGGACAAAACCGAGCAGGAGAGACTTAAAACGGAGGAAGCGGAGAGGAAAATTAAACTACAGATTTATGTGTTTGTGCTGAGATGTATCGCGTATCCGTTTAACGCTAAACAGCCCACAGATATGGCTCGACGTCAACAGAAGGTGAGTGACGGTTAAACTACTCTTTATAATAATTCGCGCTTTAAATTATTGCGCGCGCACCATTATGACTTCAGGGCTTTGAAATAAACCGCTGCCAAAAGCGTTCACTTGTGCAAACTTATTTTTTTTTCCCACATCCATCACATCTTTCAGGAGTTTATTGTTTTGGTTCAGAGGTCGTAAAAATACTTTTAGAGGTTTTGAGAAGTAACCCAGATAGCAAAATACACTCGGGCCAGTTCCGGCAAGATTGTCGCCTGCCGGAGACTAACCCCTCGGCCCAACTTCGGCTGCCGGACTCGGGCCGGATGCCTGTGGACTCACTGCCCGATTCCGGCCCGAATCAAGCGGGCCAGATGCGGCGGCCGTAAGCGAGCCGAAGCTGCGCATCCGCGCCGGAATCGGCGCGAGCGTAATGTGCGCTGCGGCCCTGAGCTGGTGCGACTCCGTATTTATACACCTTATAAAACCTTTTGGTATTACATTGGTACTTGATATATGGTATTACAACCATTTGAATTTATATAACAGCAAACACAGGCTATAATGTAAACACAAAGTGTAAGCACTGCGTTTAACCTTTGAATAAAGTGCAAACTGCATACATATTCTGTAAGAAAAATAATCAGACAAATGACAAAATAAATAAATGTTAAACGTTTATTGATTGCATGAAAAAAATAGTACTAAAATTTTATAAATAATTTTGTAGTGCACAAGAATATCAATATAAAAACAACAATAAAACAACACAATAAAGACACAGAAAGATTTAAACATAAAATCTAAAAATTACACACAAACACAGATGTTTTTTTAAAACAACCCTGTTTTCCCAACAGACTTCAATTAAAAATATGTAAAAAACAGCTAAATTTTATATAAACCTAAATATAGAAACCAATTTAAGATATAGCAAGAAACATCTTAAAAATACCAATGACAATCCGTAAAATATCCAAGTCAAACTTGTAAAAAGTACTGCAGAATTCTGAAGAAACATCTTGAAACATTTTTTAATAAAACATTAAAATAATAATAAACAAACAAATATATATATATATATATATATATATATATATATATATATATATATATATATATATATATATATATAATTGCAGAAGTATAAAGTCAAACTTTTTTTTTTAAATAAACTTGAACAAAATCAATTGCACAAACAGCAAGACATGAGTGAGATGATTATACATTTCATATATATACACGTCTTGTGCAATTTTATATTTATAATTTTATTTGTATTACATTTATTAAAAATGTATCAAGATGTTTCTTCAGAATTTGGCGCGCACACATACATACACATACCATACATATATACACACACACACATATATATACATATACATATATATATATATATATATATATATATATATATATATATATATATATATATATATATATATAAATGCAAATTAAAGAAACAAATTGTTCAAGTATCAGGGAACATCCTAATACACTTAAAATGTTGTTTAAAAAATAAAACAAAATAGTGATGTAGACATTTGACACATTAGCTTTCTCTTCTTTCTTCCTCCATCCCTGTCAGGGGCAAGTTGTAGCTACCTTGTAATGCATTTTTCCACTTCTTTATCAGTGGCGTGGTAAGGACATTTGTCCTCACTCCATCTGTGATTAAAAGATAAACAGATAATTAGTAGTGAACAAGTACTAATGTAAAAAAAAAGAAAAAATTAGGAAAAAAGTAGGCTACCTACGAAGCAAAAAAACTATCAAAAAAAACAAATAAACTTAAAACACTTTGAAATTAGCAAGAGCTTGAACTTACCAGTTTCTTCATTTGTTCGGGCTGCTCCTTTAATTGATTTTCAAGCTTTTCCAAATCAAATTGGCCAAAGGAAGGTCAAATGTGTTTACATCTGGAATTTCATCACGTCTGTTTTGGTTTTGTGAGAATCAGGCCCAGCTGCTGCTTTATGACGTTGCATGATTTTAAAACTTCAGTCAGTCGTGCTAAAAAAGAAAAATAACAGATTAGTATAAATCAACCTGTAGCTTATTCTCATACAACTTCTGTAAATACAACAGTGGGTTAGACACTGCTGATATTCTCTATTTGATCTTTACTTTCTAGCTGCATTAAACCTTAACAAATTTAGTGATGTCTTCAATTCTTACAAAGACATCACGAGATGCAATAAGTTCTGTCTTGATCTCAAACTGCACTAGAACAAAGACTGTAAATGTTCATAGGTGTACTGCAGGAGTGTCCAAACTTTTTGGGCCGAGGGCCAGATGCAAAAAAACAAACGTTGTCGCGGGCCAAATTTTACATACATCACACAGACACATATATATATATATATATATATATATATATATATATATATATATATATATATATATATATATATATATATATATATATATACAGTTGAAGTCAGAATTCTTAGCCCCCCTAAATTATTAGCCACCGTTTATTTTTTCCCCAATTTCTGTTTAACGGAGAGTTAAACATTTTTTCCACACATTTCTAAACATATTAGTTTTAGTAACTCATTTCTAATAACTGATTTATTTTATCTTTGCCATGATGACAGTAAATAATATTTGACTAGATATTTTTAAGACACTTCTATACAGCTTAAAGTGACATTTAAAGACTTAACTAGGTTAATCAAGTTAACTAGTCAAGTTAAGGTAATTAGGCAAGTTATTTTATAACAATGGTTTGTTCTGAAGACTTAAGGGGCTAATAATTTCGACCTTAAAATGGTTCATGAAAAAATTTAAACCGCTTTTCATTCTAGCCGAAATAAAACAAAAGTCTTTCTCCAAAAGAAAAAATATTATCAGACATACTGTAAAAATGTTCTTGCTCTGTTAAACATCATTTGGGAAATATTTAAAAAAGAAGAAATAAATCAATGAAGGGCTAATAATTCAGACTTCAACTGTGTGTAGATAGACAGACAGACAGACAGACAGATAGACAGATAGATAGATAGATAGATAGATAGATAGATAGATAGATAGATAGATAGATAGATAGATATAGATAGATAGATCATAACAAGAACTGCTGCTTAATTGAATGCATGTAATAGCGACACCCGGTGGTTATTTATTGAATTACGTTCATTTTTGTATAGCGGGCCAGATTCTATTGATATTTATAAAAAGCCTCGCAGGCCGCAGATGGCCCGCGGGCCGTAGTTTGGACACGCCTGGTGTACTGGAATGTACAGTATCTGTGCATCTTGATGGTGGTCTTAAGATTTCTGCCATAATCATTGATGGTGATGGTACTTGTGGTGCTGCTTTGATTTCTGAAATCTTCATACCTGCCTTTTATCCAGCCTCTTTGTTCCAAGTAATTTTTCTTCATCACGGTATGTGTCTATACTGTCCCTTAATCAGATACATTTACAAAACAAAACATCACTTTAGTATAGTGCCAGGGCAAAACTCACAGGTTGTAATAGATCAATGACATAATGTTGACAGTATGTGTTTAAAATAATTGCAAACAAACCTGTTCTGTCTTTAGATGTATGACAGGCAATCATCGTCCTCATCTGTCTACCAGTCAGAAATCACAGTTGCGTATGGATGTTTGAGTCGAGCTTCCTCATATGCATCTATAATAAAACATCACATTGTTGTTAACCTCCCGTAAAGAAAAGTTCAAATCCTGAAATACTATCAAAGTTAATTAATGCATATAATACCTATAGTGTAAATAATCAGTACACAGAAGGTTGCACAAGATTTATTCGGAGATTCATGCAGAGTGACAGCCTTATGAATCTGAGACATAGATTTGTAAGATGGTCAAGCACATGCATTATTCTGTACCCATGAAGATTAACCTACCATTGTGAAAAATGTTTGATGATGATGATAGCCAATAACAATAAACCATTTCAGCTGTTTGTGAAGCAATTAGTAATGTAATGTCTGAAAAGCTCAATCTATGTTGAAAATGTATCAGCAGTTTACAGCTTATAATGGACTTTTAGCACACAACTATAACATGCCTATTCCCGTTCAAAAGAGTGTGCTATTGACTTCTTTGGTCGTGATGTTCTGCAAAATGATCTCACTAACCTTTGTTAAACAAGAACAACAAGACTTAACCAACAAATATTGTTACCCATTCATTTAAATAAGAATTTATGACTGTCAATAACATAAAAAAAAACATCAAAATCTGCTTTAAGACGTTCAGTTTTACATTAACTGACCATTACAGCTTGAGCAAAAGATATAATTGATTCACATAGGCTAACACATATGAATTAAAGTGCATAGTAATATATTTCTCTTGGATAATTTAAAGAGAATAGTAAACAGTCGAGTTTCGATCACTTTTCGTGACTAACTGCATAAACAAGATAAACAATAATATTTTATTAATCCAAAACGATTAGTTTTTATTTACACAATCACAGAATTAATACTGTTGGATAAGTAAACGCCTGTACAATGATTTTTTTCAACATCCACGGTACTTTATAATGTTAAATCAGGAAAAAAACACGTTTTGCCATGGTAATGGATTCGTCTACAGAAACTTTCTTTAACGCAAAGTTAGCATACACACAAATTCGTTTCATGTTTCTTTAAAATAATTAAAATAGTTTTCAGTTACTACACACGTTACAATCTAACATTGTGTTAAAGGAAAATGAACTTTCAGGCGTGTTTGTAACTGTTAGCGTTAGCATACATTAGCTCCAGTCGTGTTTCTTAAAGCAAGTTACATTTCGTATCAAACTGTTTTAAATTACTAAACGCTGTTACAACCAAACACTGTGGAAATGTTTTAAGCTCTAAATTCGCTAATTATACAGTACACAAGCAGTAAAAAGCTTACCTTTCTGACCGGAATCCACATGAAATATTTAAAAAACCAAACTTTTTCTTCTTGTGATCTTCGTGCCATGGTGGTTGACAACCAGCTTTTTGGAGCATTACCGCCACCGTCTGGATTGGAGTGTGGATCATGAGTT